ATCTTTAATCTCGTTGACGTCATTGCCTAAGTAATCGTCATCATCACCACCACCACCATTATCATCATCGTCATCATCATCGCTATCATTTTTATCATTATTATTCTCCTAGTTATAGGATGATGATGGTGGTGATAATGATGATGAAGACGGTAATAGTGGGGTGATGAAGATGGTGAATAACTAATTTGAAAAGAATATTATACTACGAAATAATAATAATAACAATAATAATAATCATAAAAAGAATAAAAATAGCGACGACGACGATGAAGAAGCGTTACTAGGAACGACTGAATGTATGTATGTACACAGTACAGCACATACACCGACGCATATATCCCCGCTGTATTGATTTCTTAAGCTGAATCTCTCTTTCTTTCTCCCTCTCTCTCTCTTACTTTTTTCCCTCTCTCTCTCTCTTTTTATTTTCCTCTCTTTCTCTCTCTCACTTTCTTTTTTTGCTCACTAGACTTTTTCACTTATTTTTCCCATTTGTCTCAATGTTTATTCTTCGGTTTCCCCTTTCTACTTTTTTCTATTTTTTCTTTTTTCTTTCTCATTGTTTGTGTTTTTGCTTTTCTTTCTTTCTTACTCTCTCCTTTTCTTTCTCTCTTTTTTTATTAAAAGTAACCGTTCCCTCTCTCTCTCCTCTCTTTCTCTCTCTCTCTGTTTCTCTTGTTCTCTCTCTCGTCTCTTTTATTAAGAGTAATCGAGATCGACCAATGCTGTTTCATTTCTACGATTGTTCTCTCTTGCTTCTTCTTAGTATAGTAATGTTTGTCTGCCTGTTTGTTGGTTTGCTCATTTGTTTGTTCGTTCGTTTATTTGTTTTTCTGCCTTGCTCGTTCACTTGTTCGTTTATTGGTTTGTCTGTTTATATTGTTTTGTTTGTTGATTTATTTATGTGTACGTTTCTGTGGAAAGGAATTAATTGCGGAATGTTGGATGGACGGGCAATGAATGGAGGAAGCAAGGAAACGAGCGAGCGAGCGAGGATGAATGAAGGACCGTGTGATATGCAGTGATAAAATAAATTACAATCAAGCCACCCATCCAATCGCTTAAACAGAACAATACGCTGCTAGCAAATTTCAACTGCTGAACAAAAACCAACAAATACAAACGAACAACAAACACAACAAAGAATAAACAAGAATAGACAAAAAACAAAGACATAAGAGAACAATGGTAGTGGCGTTTGCTGACTTGAATTCTGACAGTTACGTAATTACATATTAATAAATAAATGGAAGGATGAATGAATGAATGATTGATTGAATAAATGAATGAACGAACGAACGAACGAACGAACGAATGAATGAATGAGAAAGAAAAAACTAAAAAAAGATACTTTTATTTTAGATTTTAACATATACAATAAAAGAGAGAGAGAAAGAGAGAAAGAGAGAGAGAAAGAGAGAAAGAGAGAAAAACGTGGTAACAAAGAGATATAAAAGAATAAAGAGATGGATAGATAGATAGATGGATAAACAAAGAAAAATAAATAATAGAAAGAGATAGAAAAAAAAGAGAGAGAAAGATTTATAAAAACGATAGATTTAAAAAATCTAAAATACTAAAAGGAACGTGGCCCAACCAACCAACCAACCAACCTACCAACAAACTAAACAAATTTAAAACGATCCAAAAGGTTGCATAAATCGGACATCTCTCTCTTTCTCATTTTTTTCTCTTTTTTCTCTTGCTCTTTCTGTCTTTTTTTTAATTCTTCCTACAAGCGGCTCCAAAATGAATAGCAAGGCAAATAAAAAAAATGAATTTATTGGAAATAAAATCCAAAATCGTGTTGTTGTTGCTGTTGCTGTTTTTGTTGTTGTTTTGATGTTTTGTTGTTACAAATAGACTTTAACATTCTATATTTTGAGGTTCTGAACACGCATTTGAATGGATGAATGTGCGAATGAATGAACGAACGAAACGAACAAATGGACGAATAATTTAATAAAAAATAAATGTTTGAATATATAATATGCGTGTATATTGTTATATATATTTTATATTTAATAATAATAATAATATCATCTGAAGTCTTGGCTTTGAATAACTTTCACTTCATTAAATTTACGATTAATTCATTTTTCTCTGTTCATTCCATTACGGGATTGAAAGTCGTAAGAAATAAAGAGAAAAAAACTGGCAAGGAATGAATGAATGAATGAAATGAAAAAACGGATAAATGAATGAATGAAAAAAATGAAAAAATTATAAAAAATAAATTAAATTAGCCGGCGAGAATATAAAAAACTTTAAAAAACTTTTTTGTTATCACGCGTGTTGGCATGCTATCTCTCTCTCTTTCTCTTTCTCTCTTTTTCTCTCTCTCGCTTTCTTTCTTTCTCTCGTTTATTTCCGCTCTTTCTCTCATTCGAAAGGTTATAAAATTTCAAGATGGATAAGATAAAAGATTAAAGTTATCCAAAAAGGTTCGCCATCTTTTAAACTGACAACAGCATAGGTAGAAAAAATACTAACAAATAATCTCGATAACAACCACTCAATTATAAAAATAGCAGCGATAAGACTATCCTTCATGAAGATAACAATAACGAGACAATAATACCGAAACGATAATAACGAGACCGTAAGGACAATACCGACAATAGCGATAATTATGATATTAGAAAATGGGCGATATGTATATTAGCAGAATAATTAGAAATGTAATGGCTTTTTGGTTGTTGTATATCATGACTCTCACTTTCTTTCTTTCTCTTTCTTTCTTCTTTTTTTCTCTCTCTCTCTGTCTTTTTCTCTGACTGTTTGTCTCTCTCTCTTTCTTTCTCTCTCTCTCTCTTTCTTTCTCTCTTCCTCTCTCATTATTCAAACGAAGCATGATATTTATTAGGTTGTCCGGTAGTCATTGGTGTATGATCGTGTTACTTCCTTACAAAAAACGAATGTAGGCATACAAACAATTAAATAAAATATATACACGTAGGATGTACATGAAACCGTTTTTATTAAAAAATAAGGATTGTTTGGCATTAATTAATCAATTAATAAATTAATTAGCAGCGCACAAACATTGTATATAACACAAACACACAACAAATAAAGATACAAACAAACAGACATTGTATATACATACAAACACACAATATGAATTTATTAAATATAAGTTCTCACATATATATAAATATACAGCTAAAAATTGAAGACTCAAAAATGTTTGTGATACTCAATGACTTTGTACCTGGCAATCTTAAATAAACAGATATAAATATAATTAATAATAACAATAATAATTATTTAATTATTATTATAGATACACACACACAGGTACATACAAATTCATAGACATACACCCACATACACATACACAAAAAAATAAACTTGAAAGTTAGATCATATAAGAATGCCATACATAATGCAAATGTTCAACATCGTTTTATGTATGCACGTATGTATGTATGTATGTATGTATGTATGTATGTATGTATGTATGTATGTATGTATGTATGTATGTAAGTATGTATGTATGTATGTATGTATGTATGTATGTATGTATGTATGTATGTATGTATGTATGTATGTATGTTAAAACCAAAACATGATGAGTGTCACTGAACAGTCAAACATCAAGTAACAAATGGATTAACACTTTGATTTGTCGTTAATTGCACATGTCGGCATTCAGTTGGATATTTTCAAGCACACAGACACGCAGGAACCGCTGCAACAAGCACGAAATGTGGTTAGTTGCGAAAAACAGTTCCCTGCTGTCGCCTGATCTGAGGCTGATCATTTTACATATTGCCTTAAGAAATTTAAAGGTGTTGGGGTCCATCGGGCCGAGAACCTCGATACATATTGGCAAGAATTCCATCGAGGAGAGGGCGTTCCCATATTTTTTCATTTTCTCGTCCGCTGCCCTGGCCGCGGCCAAACCGCATTCTTTACTTGTCAGGTTTACGTATCGTTCGGCAAGGGTGCCAGGGACCGTAACATCCCACGCCAAACATCTGCCGGCTTTCCAAGGTATTAGTGTGCATCCGTCCGGCGCCTACCATCATGCGCAGAAATGCCGGATGGTTCCTTGAGAACCGGGATTGAAGCCTTGGAGAAGAGCCGACAAATGTATTCGTTTAGCGCTGAGTGACGTAGTTGACGGCCCCCACCCAGGCGACAAACCAAACCGTGGTGCCCAAACTCGTCCGCCCCTGCGCCACATCGGCACGAGTATTTATTCTGAATGACCAGGCCAAGTCTGAAGCTAATGGCAAATCTCACAGACTCGTCGTCAAGCCTGGTGCCCACAGAGGCCAACAAACGAGCGGTGGAAAAGTCGTCGCCGCATGAAGACAACAAATTTTGAAAGATTTTTTTATATTCTTCGTTCAAAATTTGGACGTGCGTACGGTCTCCCGGGGCGGACACTGGGGGAAGAATATCGCGGCAACAAAAAAACCGGTGGAGCAGGGAAGACTGCAGGTCGAGAGTGGCAGCGGCAGAAGAATTATAAACAACGGGAGTCAGCTGAACCACGCTAAGCAACCCCAGCCCACCAAATCGCACCGGTAGCTGAGCCTGGGACCAACACTGTCGGTCACTTGAACATTGCAAATCGACGACAGGGCGGTGCGCAGGGCTCCGTCAAATTCGCCCAATTTAGAAGGGTCAATGTGTTTAGATGTACGCAGGAAGTACATCAATTTGGGCAAACTGAGGGCATTGCGGATAATAGTCAAGGCATCATGGGCCGAAAGACAGGAAACACGACCCAGGGCAAATTTAAGCTCAGAGAGCTTTTGGTCAAAAAACTTTATTTGATAATCGCCCTCGACCAAGGGTGTGCCTAAAATACTCAGTTCTGATGCACCAACTCTGGGTATTCCAGCCAGCGCATGTGGCACCTGAAATAAACTTTGGCAGTGAAGTTCGCAATTTTTAATGTTTAACTCTAAACCAATTGCAGCGGTGTTATGCTTCAAATATTCGTAGCTATCGGCCAGAGTTGGGCCGTCCGAAGCAATGCTGATATCATCCAGATAAGCGCAAACGAAAGTGGACGAAGCTTTCTCTAAGAGTGGATGAAGAGTTAGTGCGAACAGCAAAGGACCAAGGGGATCACCCTGCTGTACCCCCTCGGCCGATTCTACAACCCAAGAGTGGTAGCCAAGGGAAGAGACTCCGCCATAGGCAGAATGGCAAAAATTATAGATATTGGGGCAAAAAAGTTTGACAGCCTCCAACATCGAGTCTCTTCTCAAGGCATTGAAGGCATTTTTAAAGTCCAGTTTCAGAAACCCCCATTGATCGGGGAGGTCGGTGACCAATCTTCGAACCGCATGAACAGCGGCCTCAGCGCCACCCTTAATCCCGACACCCAATTGAGTCGGGTAGAATTTGGTCTTGAGTTCGACCACGACCAGGGCAAAAGCACATTTGCCGGCCAACCTCCTCCAAACGTTCCCGACCGCAATCGGTCTGACCCCTCCGTCTTTCTTATTCAAAACTATTAGCCGGCCTCCAAAAAAGAACCGGCAGACGGAGAGTGGGCAAGCTCCAGACAGGATCAAATTAATGAATTGGGTTAAGGAGTTCAACGTGTCGTCGATTGGCAAGGGGCCTGAAAAAACATTCTTAAGATGCTGGGATCGTAGGCCATCCAGGCCTCCAGAAGAACCGTTTTTGAACGATTTAACGGCCCTCAGCACCTCGGCGGGAGAAACGCAACCAGCCGTTGGTGTCAATGCGGGAAAGACCCGCCTGTCCACCGGAATTTTTGGGTGGATAGAACATAATTTATCGAAGGTGGCCGGCGAGCTCTCCGCCAGGCCTTCCGGCGAACAGACAAGTCTGACAGCCGAGGACAGGTTTCACTGTTCAATACAAGATGACACAGCGTTCATCCACCGATCGGGGTTGTGCTTTTGTGATTTGGCATTATTGAACCCATCAAAGCACAGTACCAGGGTTTCAAGACCAATAATTGAATATTCGCTTAGACGCTTGTTGACCAGATTGCCCTGGTTGACCCGGTGACCCCCTCTGGAAGTCTTCTGTAAGACGTATGGGACAAAACAGTGGAGTCTAACCCAGTGAGCCGGGTCACCAGGGTCATTACAAACAGCCGTCAGCATGTTTGTATGTATGTATGTATGTTTTTATGTATGTATGTATGTATATATATATATGCAAACAAACAAACATACAAGGTGGACCAAAATAGAGGACATATTGAGATCATTAAATCAGCTTGATTCTATTGAAATTGTGTTCCTCTGGAACTCTCTTATTTGTTGTGGATGTTGTTCAGAGTCGATGTTGATGATGATAATGATGGTGGTGATAATGATGGTGGTAGAGGTTGTGATAATGACAATTATTACTATGACGACGACGTTGATGATGATGATGATGATGCTCCTGTTGGACATGACGATGTTGCTGCTGTTGTTTACTTTATTTTTATTTATTCATTCATTCATTCATTCGTTCGTTCGTTCGTTCGTTCGTTCGTTCATTCATTTATTCATTCATTCTATCGATAGGAAAATACAAAAAAAATCAGATAAAATATCGATGAACATGGAAAAACTCATCTAAAAACACACGTACCTATGTATATATATTTTGCTGTATATGACATTAAGCATTCGCGGTAAGAAAACAGACGCGTTTATATCAGGCAATAATTTTTTCAATTCCAACACATCATTTAAGATCTAACTGGAAAAATCTACCATGAAATTTTATATTAGTCTCTACATTCCACACACACACACACACACACACACACACACACACACACACACACACACACACACACACACACACACACACACACACACACACACTATGTTTAAGTTTAAAAATCTACCCTATAAAAATACAACATCGCACACAAAAACACACAAACATAACAAAAAAACACACACACGCATATATACACACGTACGTGAACATTCAGACACATTCACACACACAGTTACAAGATCACATACAAAAAAACTACACACATGCTACAGCAATTACATATAGATACACAAAATAAACACAGACACGTACGCACACACACACACACACACCCACACACAATAAAAAACTGAAGAACATAAAAATTCATACGTGTATAGGCATTTGACCTCCTGGTAATGATGCTAATAATTTAGTGAACCCCAGATCCTACAAAGAAATATTGACCAGTACATCAACGTAGCTGACCAAATGACCATGTTTGTTTGTTTGTTTGTTTTACTCTCTTGTTTCTATGTTGATTTTTATTAGGTTTTTGGTTTTACATAGCTTTGTATGATCTTGGTTTGGTTTGTTTGTTTTACATAGTTTTGTATATCTGAATTTGTTTTTGTTTTGAGTGTTGTTGTCTGTTTCCTATGAATCATATGTTTTGTATATTTTTGTCTGGTTTGTATTTTCCGTGTTGTTTTGTATGGTTTTGTATGTTTTGTACGACTTGTATGTTTTAAACAATTTTATGTTTTGTGTGAATTTTTTGTATGTCTCAGATATGTGATACATTATGTCTGATTTTTATTTATTTTTTTATTTACTGGCAATGTCTTCCATACCTTTTTTATACGCCGAAACACGCACCGAAACACACGCACACACTCACATGCACATATACACACACACGCACACACAAACACACACGCGCGCACACGCACAAACACGCACTCACACAGGTCTGTCTTGAATGGAGTTTTATGTAATTTTGGTATGTATGTAACTGCATGTTTTATAGCATTGGTAATATAAACATACACAAATGCACACACATACACAAACACACATATACACATAAATACACACATATACTCACTTGTATTTCATGTATTTCTTTCCATTGTGTTTGATTGCTTGTTTAGTAAATTGCGTTCTAAATTTCGTATGATAATTTTTCAGTATGTTGTTGTTTTGCACTATATTGAATGTTTTTTTCTGCGTTTAAATATCAATAATTTTTATATTTAGATTTTTTCATAATTATTTTTTGATATAATTTTTGTATTTATGTCATTACGATATTAATTTCATCATAAAAATTGGCGCGCCAAAAATAAAACTTGAACGAACTGATGATTTATGACCAGACGACAAGCTAAACATTATTAATTAAATTCCTCCAAGTATGTGGGCGCACACACGCACGCACAAAAACACACACAAACGCACACACACCCATACATACACGCACATAAACTCACATGCACGCATCCTTACACACACACACAAACATACACACACACACACACACGCGTTATCTTCAACGGTTAATTTATGGTTTTTCATATTCATGCTCCAGTATGCATTTGCTTAAGTCGTTGCGAAAAAAATATTAACAACATAAAAAAATAACACCAACAATTAATACATTAAACAAGGAACCACAACGCCAGCAGTAATAATAAGACATTAAAACGAGACATCATTACAATGTCGACAAAATGGACATCTCAGTGACATCAAAGCCCAACAATAATAACGGCTACAGCGTTAACACACAATGACAACAACATCAACACAGAACCAACCACAATAAAAACAACAACAATAGTAACATCAATGCAACAAAGAAACCATCGCCAACAACAACAACCACATAAACAACAAAAACAGACCGCGTAGAGTACGAAAATATGCTGTCCCACTATGATAAAACTCATCAATTTTATTTTTTAATTTTCATATAGCGACCGACCGACCGACTGACCAGCAGAACATCTAACTTATTGCATACTTCGAGTTTTTTTATGTTCTGTTTTACATACATCAATGTATACACGTGTGTTTATTCGCGTTTTTATGCACACATCCTATATATTTGTGTAACTATTTACAATTTTGTATATGTAAATACCATTTTGTATATGTAAATACCATTTTGTATATGTAAATACCATTTTGTATATGTAAATACCATTTTGTATATGTAAATACGTTATTGTTACTAAATGTGTTGTGTATCCCTCTCAATAATTGTAGTTGTGTTTTTAAGCGTTATTTAGTGGTAAGCAAGCAGGCTGGCGTGAATGGAGTCAATGTTAACTGTCAGCAGGCAAATGCTTCAGAAACAATCCAACCGAATATAATAAATATTTGTGAAACATTGACGTAAAATAAATTAGAATTGAACGAAATGAGATAAATTGAACTGTAGTAATAAATCACACTTGCCTGCATTGAATAAGAAGAATTAAGATTTTATAAAAAAAAATTTAAAACCAACCAGTGACGCAAGTGAAGTTGACCTCCAGGTAACTTTTGAGGTCGTCATTGCATGGAGCCTTCGTCCTCTCAAGCAGGTTTGAATCCGGAAGTCGTATGGAGCAAGTTTGCCTGCCGCTGCATCTCCTGTGCACGTGACCCGTGACATCATTGAAACATCCCAGGTAGCCAAAATTAGACTGAACGCAAGGTCCTTGGCGCATGCGCCCAAAAAAAGCGGAAGTGACAAAGATGATATCCGTTTCCGGGCAGGTTGCCTGGAACTGTCCAGTCTGACAGGCAAATTTTGTGTAAATTTGGTTGTTGTTGATGTTGACGTTGTTGTGGGCGTTGTTGTTGTTGCTGCTGCTGCTGCTGCTGCTGCTGTTTGATGGGTGGTCATACGCAGCAAGCATGTTTCCTGGAAAGATTAATAAAGAGAGAGATTTCATTTCAGATACAATAAGATACAATACAATACAATTCAACACAATTCAATAAAATACAATACAATAAAACCTAATAAAACCAATACAATTCAATACGTTGCAATACAATACAATACAACACAATTCAATAAAATACAATACTATACAGTACAATACAACCTAATAAAACCAATACAATTCAATACGTTACAATCACAATTCAATAAAATACAATACTATACAATACAATAAAACCTAATAAAACCAATACAATTCAATACGTTGCAATACAATACAATACAACACAATTCAATAAAATACAATACTATACAGTACAATACAACCTAATAAAACCAATACAATTCAATACGTTACAATACAATACAACACAATACAATACCATACATTGAAATACAAAATCCATGTATTTGCATTGTATATGGTATTTGTATTGTTTGGTATCTGCAATGTTTGCCTTGCACGCATTAAACACGTGATCAGAACGACACTGGTGGTCATGTTTATGTCCACTATAATGGGCTGGCCATCATGTGGCGTTTAGTCGCTTGCTTTTCCTTGCTTATAATTGCTGTCATAACACAGCAATAAATGCTATAATAACTGTTCTGTATTTATGTTAACGCATACACAAACACACACACACACACACACATACACAAACAAACACACACAAACACACACACACGCAAGCGTATACACCCAAAAAGACCATACGACCCCCATTCATTCTTTCCCTATCTCTTTCTCCTTTTCTCTCCCTCTCTTTCTCTCTTACACACACACACACACACACACACACACACACACACACATACAGGCTTATGCAAACATATTTTGGCAGCAGAATTAGTATCTGAAGTGAAGATAGAGTAGTAGTAGTGGTAGTAGTAGTAGTTGTGGTAATAGTAGTAGTAGTATTAGTAGGTAGTAGTAGTAGTAGTAATAGTAGTAGTAGTGGTATTAGTTGTGGTAATAGTAGTATTAGTAGGTAGTAGTTGTAGTAGTAGTAAAGTATTATTATTATTATTATTATTATTATTATTATTATTATTATTATTATTAGTAGTAGTAGTAGTAGTAGTAGTAGTAGTAGTAGTAGTAGTAGTAGTAGTATTGAGTAAACGAGATTAGCAACACCAGAAGAAGAAAAAATTCTTTTTTCAATTAAAACGACGTGAACCAAGCACAAAGACAGACAAAATAATTGAATGTATGTCTGTGTGTGTGTGTGTGTGTATGTGTGTGTATTTATGAGTATGTATGTGTTTTGGTATGTATGTGTCGATGTGTTGTGTGTGTATGGATGTGTGTATGTATGTTTATGTGTGTGTTTGTATGTGCTGTAGTTGTATGGATGTGTGTGTATGTTTATGTGTGTGTTTGTATGTGTTGTGGTTGTATGGATGTGTGTGTATGTTTATGTGTGTGTTTGTATGTGTATTTATGTTTATATATGTGTGTGTATGTTAGGGGTACGTGTGTGCGTGTGCGTGTGCGTGTGTGCGTGTTTAGATTTTTTTTTACGACGTAATAACGTTTAATTACCTACTTGCATACATTCGTTCATGTTTATGTGACCAATTCAAATAATTCCTCGTTCCAGGTTTTTCCGCTCTGCGTTTGCTAATTTTTTTGTTTAGTTTTGTTTGTTTGTTTGTATGTACTGTTTTGTATCGTTTTGTATTTTTGGGGTATTTTTAATGTTGTTATGTTGATCTAGCTGAGTTGCGGTTTTCGTACTGTAGTGACATTATCTATTACATCATCATCATCATTTCACCATCTTCACCAAATTCATCAATTTCATCATAATAATCGTCGCCATCATCATAGTCATCATCGCCGTCGTCATCATCAACATCATCATCATCATCATCATCATCATCATCATCATCATCATCATCATCATCATCATCATCATCATCAATTCCACATCACCATATTGCATTGGACGCAAGCGCTTATTTTGTTTTCCATGAATCATACCAAGCAGTGTCATCATCCTCATCGTCGTCGTCGTCATCATTATCATAACCATCCTTATCATCGTCATTATCATCATCTTCTTCTTCATCATCATTATAACCATTATCATTGTCATCTTCATCATAATCACCATCATCAAGAATAAAAAGAGCCGAAATAATGTTATTTAAATTTTTATTAATATCACCATTATTATAACTATTCACTACTGCTACTACTACTACTACTTTTAATAATAATAATAATAATAATAAATAAAAATAAATAAAAATAATTACAATATTTACCTGCTAAAAGCAGACAGACAGAAAGCAGCCAATCAGCATTCGCCGATGAAGTCACGTGATGTACATTCATGCTGCTTTTGATGTTTTTTAGTAGCAGCAGCGATAGTTGTAGTAAGAGTAGTAGTAGCAGTTGTAGTAATAATAGTAGTTGTAGTACCAGTAGTAGAAGTAGTTGCTGTTGTAGTAGTAGTAGCTGTAGTATTAGTAGTAGTAGTAGCGGTAAATATGGTAGATGCAGTAGTTTGTAGTTACTCAGTTAATGATTTTGTTGTTGTTACACATAGGTCTCAATGTCTTTCCCATTAAAATGAATTTTTGGACTGAATTAATTTCTTCAAATTGGACGTTAACGTTATTGATGCTGTTGTGAATGATGCTATTAACGTAATGTTTGCTAATGTAATTTTTGTTGACGTAATTGTTGTTGGTGACTATTTGTTGGTGATTTTGGTGATGTTGTTGTTGTTGTTGTTGTAGTCTTTTTTAGTTTGACATTATTGTCGGTGAATTGAGAAACATTTTTTTAATTTTTTTCTAAACAACAGATTTCGTTACTTTAATTTATTAATTAATTTAAATTAATTTAATAGTTTTTTATTTGATAATTTGTAAATTTAAACATCCGAAAATTTCAACTTGTGATGATTATTATATATATTTTTTACTGTATTTTTCACGGCACAAAATGGGTACATAAAATACATACAAGTTAAAACAGTTGAATGAATGTTTTAAATGCTTCACAAATGTTTACAAAAAACTTTTCCAAATTCCATTTATTATCATTATTATGATTAACATAATTATTATTACTTTTTATTATTATTACTTTACTAAATTATACTATAAACTTTTATCATTGCCATCATCACATACCTCTATTATCATCATCTCGTCATTATCACCATAATTATATTTATTATCATCATTCACCATTCAACGTATTCATTCACAACTTGCTTCTACTACTACGCCTAGTCTATGGCACCATCATCATCGTCGTCATCATCATCATCATCGTCATTATCATCGTCATTGTCATCATCATCGGGGTCGTCATCATCATCGTTTTCATCATCATCGTCATCATCTTTGGTTTTTTGGCCTTTTATACATACAAAATGCAATAGACACATACAGACACCTATACACACATACATATATATATATCAGTGAGGGAATGTATGTATGTATATATATGTATACAATATATACAAAATATATACAATATGTACACATATACACGTGTACCATATACAACTGTATGCGCATATAACAACCATACCGTTACGTCCCTTTATATTAGGTAGATACACGATTGTATTTGTGTATGTTATTTTATGAGTATTATATAATTATGTATTTATGTCTGCGTGAAAGAGTGTAGTCGTGTGTGTGTGTGTGTGTGTGTGTCAGCGTGAAAGAGTGTAGTCGTGTGTGTGTGAATATGTGTGTGTGTGTATGTGTGTGTGTTTGTATGCATATGCCTGTGTGCTTGTGTGTGGTGTGTGTGTGTTTAATTATGTTTGTGTATACATACTAACTATAATCATAATTGAATAATTATAATTGAATAATTTATATAGCGCTTCATTCGTAGCCTGGCGCTCCAGCGTTCAATTTCATGCTCATCGCCTCACGCTGTTCAAATGGTATAACGTGTCAATCAAGGTGTCTGTCAGATAGTTTTGTGGTTATTTTAATGTCATTTTGATGTCCTGATTGTTAGTGTTGTCATTTTAATGTCATGGTTGTTAGTGTTGTCCTTTTTATGTCATCCTCATCTTGCTGTCACTTTAATGTTATCATGATTGTTTCTATTTTAATGTCAGATTGTTTTTGTAGTTCTTCTACTGTCGCCACCATCATCTTCGTCGTCGTCGTCGTTGTTGTTGTTGTTTTAATGTTGTCATCATAGTTGCTGATGTTTTTACCTTGATGTCATCGTGGTATGTGTGTTCGTGTTCATCGTCACACCATCATGCTAGTTGTATCTAATGTACAATGTGCACTGGAATCTTCAACATTGGGATTGTCATCATCATCGTTTTGTTATTATTGTTGTTTGTGTTATTATTATTGCTATTGTTATCATCATCACCATCATCATCGTCAACAACCATTTATTTTGCGTCAATATTTTTGCACCCAGTGTTTGCCTCACGTTTTGGGGTTAGTGAGTTTTCATTTTTTCAAAAATTAAGTGCTATACAAATTTATGTATGTATGTATGTGTGTGTGTGTGTGTGTGTGTGTGTGTGTGTGTGTGTGTATGTATGTATGTATGTATGTATGTATGTATGTATGTATGTATGTATGTATGTATGTATGTATGTGTGAGTCTGCTTTTTCTTCTTTATTCCCAGGTTTCAATAGTGGTAGAATACAAAAGTTGGTGTTTCATGTACATGTTATATATATATTTACATACATACGTACATACACACACACACGCACACACGCACAGATTTATAGGTACATATATACGTATATATGTTTATATGAATGTAGATATAAAGCCAAAAGCAGTAAGTACATTCAGCTCATTATTGCTGGGTACAAAAACGTAGATGCTGATTATTTTCAGTGTTTTTGCTTCTGCACCAAAGAAACCTGCACTCAACTGAACTTATCGTTGCAGTAAAACTAGTATGGTAATATTAATAGTAGTAGTAGTAGTAGTAGTAGTAGTAGTAGTAGTAGTTGTTGTTGTTGCTGTAGTAATAGTAGTAGTAGTAGTAGTAGTAGTAGTAGTAGTAGTAGTAGCAGTAGCAGCAGCAGCAGCCGTAGCAGTAGCAGCAGCAGCAGCAGTAGCAGCAGCAGCAGCAGCAGTAGCAGTAGTAGTAGTAGTTGTTGTTGTTGTTGTAGTACTAAATAGAATGGCAGATGATAATTGTGAAATCTTTCGCCATCTTTTGTAAAAAAATTATATATTTGTCATTCTTTAGACAACCAGTGTTTCAGTGTTTGTTAAACACACAAAATTTAGGTGCGTTGGAGTATTTTTAAAAATTTAATTCTTCGGTGATGGCATTTTTAAACTTTGAAAACAATGGCATTCAATTGCCAGAAACTTTCTTAACTTAAATAAACATGAAGAATGTTTGCAAAGATTCCTTTTCTTGACTACACTCCAATCCCGACTAGCTTAACTAATACACACAACTTTACAGGACCCACTTTAAAATGAAATGAAGAAATTTGAGCAGTCTAAAAAATTTCTTA